AACATACTATGAATAACATTGCAGAACACTTTATTGTGCTCATGAGGAACTTGTACATAGACCAAGAGGCAGTCATTCAAACAGAACAAAGAACACTGAATGGTTCAAGAGCAGAAAAGGGGTTCGTCAGGGTCTTATCATTTCACTGTACGTATACAATCTGTATGCTGAACAAATAATCTGTGAAGTTGGATTATATGAAGAAGACATGGCATCAGGATTGGAGGAAAACTCATTAACAACCTGAGATATACAGATAACAGAGTCTTGCTTGCTGAAAGTAAAGAGGACTTGAAATGCTTATGAAGGTCAAAGACTACAGCTTTAGGTATGGATTGCATGTCAATGTTAAGAAAATGAAAATTTTTCAACTGTACCAGTAAATACATCACAATAAATGGAGAAAAGATTTAAGTTGTCCAAGACTTCAATTTGCTTGGATCCGCAATCAATGCTTATGAAAGCAGTAGTCAAGAAACCAAACGACATATGACATTAAGCAAATCTGCTGCAAAAGACCTCTTGAAAGTATTAAAGAGCAAAAATTTCACTTTGAAGGCTAATGTGCCCTGCTCAAGCCCTGGTATTTTCAGCTCTATCATATGCATGTGAAAGTTGGACCATAGAAGAATGGATGCATCTGAATTATGGTGTTGGCGGAGACTATTGAGAGTACTTTGGATTCCCAGAAGAACCAACAAATCTATCTTGGAAGAAGTACTGTCAGAATGCTCCTTAGAAGAAAGGATGGCAAGACTTCTTTCTCATACTTTGGACATATTATCAGGAGGGACCGGTCCCTTGAAAAAGTGTAGGATCAGAGAAAAAGAGGAAGACCCCCAATGAGATGGAGTGACACAATGGGCTCAAACCTAACAAATGCTGTTGTGCATAGTGTAGCTATGAGTTGTAACTAACTTGAAAACACCTAACAACACCAACAACACTCACACACACACAAGATGTCGTTTGTTGGTGTTGTTAGGTGCCATCGAGTCGGTACCAACTCGCAGTGACCTTATGCACAGCAGAATGAAACACTGCCCAATCCTGGGCCAACCTCACTACTGTTGCAACACTTGAGTCCATCGATGCTGCCACTTGGCCAATCCATCTCGATGGCGGTCTTCCTCTTTCTCTCTGACCCTCCACCTTGTTGTTGTTGTTGTTGTTATGTGCCGTGGAGTCAGTTTCGACTCATGGCGACCCTGTACAGGGTTTCCAAGGATGTAAATCTTT